GCGCGAGGCCGCGTCATTTATGGCCGCGTGAAAGACCGGGGGGGGGGGGGGGTTTAGTACCCAAACGCGGGTGAAAGTACCCAAACGGGTGGGGTCGTTCCTTCCGGAAGCTCGATCGCATCACGGACGTCCTCGTCCTCTTTCCTCTTTAGGGAGTGTTCCGACTGGACAAGAGCACGGGAGAATTGTTCGTGACTCGCGGGCTGGGCGAGGAGAGGCGGATGCACACGGTCTACATAGCGGGGATCGACGGGGGAGGCCTCCGATCCGACGAGAACGCCCAGGTCCTGCTCTCCGTCATCGGGGACGATCAGAGGCCTCCCGTCTTCCAGAGGCCTCGCTACAGCTTCTCCGTCGGGGAAGACGTCGCTCAGGGTACACGGCTGGGGATCGTCGGAGCGCATGCGCCAGGTACGCACGAGTCGCTCGCCGACCGCCTGGGGGAGGGAGGAAGGGGAAAGAGAGACGTCGGTCTCGAAGTCGGCCGACGTTCGTCCGGCGGCCTTCGACCGCGTCCGTCTGCGACGAGTCGGCGCTATTAAAAGCCCGTTGCCGAGGCCTCGGTCGGAGACAGATGTCTCTCGGTACCGGTAAAGCCTGCCCACCGAAAAAAAAAAAGATCGATACGTTTCGAGGTAATTAATAGACGTTGTCTCTCGCAAGGACGTGGACGAGGTACGACCGGCATTTCAAGGTTCCATAAGTCATCGCGAACGGGAAGTGAAATTCTCGCATCGGTATGTTCTCGACAGGGGACTCGCGGGTGGATTATTCCATCTCATCGGGAGACCCGGAGGGTTACTTCCACATCCATCCTTCGACGGGTGTCCTCACCATCAGACGGGCTTTGGACCACGAAAAGACACCTTTCGCCCTTCTCAACGTGCAGGCCATGGCCGGGGAACCGCCTTCTTTCGGTCATACTCAGGTGACTACCGATTTTCGAATAAATATTCCTCGCATCTCGAAGGCACACCTTTATCGAGTTTAATTTATAATACCTCGCGTTAGTGTGTCGAAAGATTTACATTTACATGTATAATTCATGTAACGACACGGAAAAATTAATTAAGGGGCCTATTTATGGTAATCTCATGCGACGATACGAGGCCGAAGAGGTCGTAAGGACGGAACGAAGCGTCGAAGAAAGTCGGTGTGAAGGAGTGAAATATCGTGGCAGGTGAACGTGACGATCTGGGACGTGAACGACAACAGCCCCGTGTTCTCGACTCCGTCGGTGGAACTGTCGGTGCCGGAGAACGCGGAGGTGGCGACGCCGCTCTACGTCGTCCTCGCCCGAGACGCGGACGCCGGCCTCAACGGAGAGGTCGCGTACTTCCTCCAGGAACCGAGTTCGCTGTTCGCGATGGACCCGACCTCGGGGGTCCTGTCCCTGCTCCAGGGGTTGGACTACGAGACCTCCACCTCCTACGACCTGGTGGTGATCGGCAGGGACCGGGGAGAGCCGAATTCCTTCTCGTCCAGCCTCGCGGTGAGGATCGACGTGCAGGACGTGAACGACAACCCGCCGGAGTTCACCCGGTCCGCGTATCGGGCTTCCCTCCTGGAGAACGCGGAGCCGAACACGCCGATCGTCCAGGTGGAGGCGACGGACGTGGACACCGGCAACAACGCCAGACTCACGTACAAACTGCAGCAGCCGGAGGCCTTCCCCGAGTTCGGAATCTTTCCCAACTCCGGCGTCCTCTATCTCAAGGTGAGTTCCTTCTTCCGATGCTCGCGTCACCGTCAGTTCGACCGGCGGATTTTAAACCGAACGCTTCGCGAACGACATCCGAGTCGATATCGATCCGCGCGCGAAGTGCAGGTTTGCGAGGAGTCGACTCGTGCCGAACGCGTTCGATGCTCGTGCATCTACCGGGAGAAACGATTCGTCCCGTCGGCCACGAAAGTTCCATCGCGAACGTCGTAGCGCGAGAGGAGCCGAGCCAAAAACTCTCGTTTTTGCCTCGCGGATGGCACGAAGGGCATCTTCGACGGCACTCTTCGCAACGCCCGGCTTCCGCGAATTCCCGCATTGTCGTTGCATCCAAGTGGGAATAGAGAATGGAGGAAACCTATGAGGTATCGAAATGTATGGATGGATCGGGTTCCCTGCCCGGTCCCCTCTGGGTCTCCCCCACAGGGCCCCCCCCCCCCGGCCCCCCGGTCCCTGCCGATCACCACCAG